CTATAGACGCATCGATCGATACTAGTTTTCAGCAGATACAGGAACACCTAGAACGCTACACACACTTGGGATCCGGGTGGGCTGTAGATAAAATCGATATTGTCTATCTAGACATAGCTAACTACGTGCCGTTCAGAGGCGGGTCATACCTAGACTTGCCTCCATACTATAAGAAAAAACATGCCATAGTCAATGTCAAGAATAGAGGAAACGATTGCTTGAGATTAGCTATCAGATCAGCCTTGTTTCCAGCTGACACTCATTCAGACAGGCTTTCTAGCTATCCCCAAGACGATGGACTCAACTGGGATGGTATAGATGAACCAACCACCATATCTCAGATCACTAAAGTAGAAAAACAGAATAATCTAGCTATAAATGTCTTTGGACACGAAGACAATACAACAATAATACACAGGCTCAGTCCGTTGGTGGGGAAACGTGTTATCAATATATTCATGATCCAACGAGGTGAAAAGTATCACTACACGTGGATAAAACATTTCAATCGGTTGTTGCACGACCAGTCGAAACACAATGGGAAAAAAACACTTTTGTATGCGATGCCTACACGGCTTCATACGAGCTGATTTATTAGAATCCCACCAGGAGTATTGCCAAGGTGTGGGACAGACGGCTATACGCGTCGACATGCCCGAGGAAGGTGACAATATCCTAAAATTCTACAACCACAAGCACCAAATGTCCGTGCCTTATATTATATACGCCGACTTTGAAGCATTGGTCAAACCAATTACCGGCGGGGATACTCCCACAGGCGGGGTTGTTGGGGTACCCCAATGCTCTACCCATAGGTGAGAGCTTCACATACAAAACACAAGAGCATGAAGCATGTGGATTTGGATACATAGTCGTCCGTTGTGACGGTGAAACGAAATCTCCCGTAGTATACAGGGGTCCTGACGCGGTTGAAAGGTTTCTAAAGTGTTTGCAGGAGGAAGAAGAAATTATTAGGAACGCGTTGTATAGAATCGCTCCCATGCGTATGACCCAAGCCGACAGGTTAGCTCACTCCCGTAGCATTAACTGTCACGTGTGTGACTCACCACTGAACGGTGATTCGGTGAGAGATCACTGTCACATAACCGGTAAGTATAGAGGTGCCGCTCACAACGCGTGTAACCTTAAACTTAGAATCAACCCTAAGACAATAAACATCCCCGTTGTCTTTCACAACTTGAGAGGGTACGACTCTCACTTGATCATGCAGGCCATCGCGAAAATCGATGGTAATATAACGTGCATTCCCAACAACATGGAGAAATATCTCTCTTTCAGCTTAGACGGACTTAGGTTCATTGACTCGTGTCAATTTCTATTGTCGTCATTAGCCAGCCTGATTAAAGCCAACGATACCTTCCCTATCACCGATCGATACACAGACGCCGAGACTAGATCTCTGCTTATGAGGAAGGGTGTGTATCCCTATGAGTACATGGATAGTTGGACTAAGTTCGCCGAGACCAGACTACCCCCCATCAGAGAATTTTACAGCAATCTGACCGACTCGGAAATATCCGAAGACGATTACTCGTACGCTATTAACGTATGGAATAAACTTGGTTGTAAAAACCTAGGTGACTATCACGATCTGTACTTGAAGATGGATGTACTACTATTAGCCGACGTATTTGAGACATTTAGGTGGACATGTATCAAGCAGTATAAACTAGATCCAGCATGGTATTACACCAGCCCAGGTCTATCGTGGGATGCCTTGCTTAAAAAAGACCGGAGTTAAGTTGGAATTGCTTACTGATTACGACATGCACCTATTCATTGAGAAAGGCTTGCGAGGAGGGATCTCCATGGCAACCAAGCGATACGCTAAAGCAAATAATCAATACGTGAATGGCTACGACCCTAGCAAACCAACCAATCACATTCTCTACCTCGACGCCAACAACCTGTACGGCTGGGCTATGAGCCAGTATCTACCCACAGGGGGATTCGAATGGGTATCATCCGATTTCGATATTATGAGCATCGCGCCGGATTCGAACAAAGGTTATATCCTCGAAGTTGACTTGGAGTATCCCAAGGCATTACACACATCACACAACAGCTACCCCCTGGCTCCCGAACGTATGAGGGTTAACCCAGACTGGATGTCTGAATACCAACATAACTTGTTAGATAGGCGGGTGACGGGCGTTGAAAAACTCGTGCCTAACTTAATGAATAAGACCAAATACATCGTAGACTATCGCAACCTGCAGCTGTACCTGTCGTTGGGTATGAGGCTTACCAAAATACATAGGGTGCTCGTGTTCAATCAGAGCCCATGGATGGAGCCCTACATCAGAATGAACACGGACCTGCGAAAGCTTGCCACCAGTGACTTTGAGAAAAATCTCTACAAGCTCATGAACAACTCGGTGTTCGGTAAGACTATGGAAAACCTGAGGAAACGCGTGGACGTAAAGCTGGTTCGATCGAATGAGGAGAACAAACTCAGGAAGCTGATAGCCAGTCCGACATTTAACCGTAGCAAGATATTCACCGATAACCTAGTTGCCTTACACATGAAGAAAAGCCACATAAAATTCAACCGGCCTGTTTACGTGGGGATGAGCATCCTCGATTTATCCAAACACCTGATGTACGACTTTTACTACAACGAGCTTAAGAAACAGTACGACGACAGGTGTGAAGTGCTGTACACTGACACGGATTCCCTGCTGATGGAGATTCGAACCGAGGACGTGTATGAGGACATGAAAGAACGCCTCGATTTGTATGACACCAGTGACTACCCCAAGGACCATACCATACATAGCACGGTAAATAAAAAGGTCCTAGGTAAGATGAAGGACGAGTGTGCAGGCACGTCCATAGCCGAGTACATAGGGTTGAGGCCTAAGATGTACTCCATACTGAAAGCCGACAATAGTGAGATCCGGAAGGCTAAGGGTGTTAAGAAGTACGTGGTGAAACAACACATCAAACACGCCATATTCAAGGAATCCCTGTTCAAAACCCGTACCTTTAAACATAAAATAAACACACTTAGAAGTGATAGTCATAGGATATATGGGCTGACAATAAACAAGACGTCCCTGTCGCCTATGGATACTAAACGTTGGATAGCTATTGATGGGATAAACACGTACGCGTACGGGCATGAGAAAATTGAACCAAGAACGGAACCAGAAAAAGTTTGAGGCTATTTACTATAGCCCGCGTGGGTACTGGAAAGGAGCTAGCGCTGTAGATAAGCTGGCTAAAATGGCGCGAGTACCGCCGGAGGAAGCCAAAGCGTGGCTTGAAAAAACAAGCCCTGTGGCAGATCTATTTGCCACCACCACGCTACGTGCCTAGAAGGAAGTTCGGTATTAACATACCTAATAGCGTTCACCAGGCAGACCTACTGTTCCTACCCCACGATAAAAGGTACAAGTATGCCTTAACAGTCGTGGATGTAGCCAGTCGCTACAAGGAAGCCGAACCCTTGACCACGAAAGATTCGGTCCAGGTAGCCAGAGGATTCGAACGTATATACAAACGCAGTCCGCTGACGTGGCCAACAGAGCTGCAAGTTGACCCAGGGCGGGAGTTCATGGGTGCCGTGTCACAACTGCTAGCCAAACACGATACAAAGGTCAGGCGTGGCACGGCCGGAGCCCATCGCAGCCAAGCCATAGTTGAGAGATTCAATAGGACTTTGGCTGAGCGCTTATTCGGACATCAGTATGCGAGAGAGATGGCTGCCCCAGGGAAGCGATCGACTGAATGGGTCACGAGGTTACCTAAGGTGGTGTCGGCAATCAACCATGAAGTCACTCGTCTCACCGGTAAAAAAGCCGGCAGACGCTATAAAATTAAAATCGATAGCAGCAGAGCCGGCCGCTCCTTTGCGTGGGAAGGAGAAACAAATACCAGATAGGTCTCTAGTGAGATATTTATACGAGCCTGGGGAACACGAGGGTGATACTCGGAAACGAGCTACTGATCCTATATGGTCAGTCAAAACTTACAACATAGATAAAGTAGACATCAAAGCCGACGAACCTAACTTGTACTACTTAATGGATGGTCCCGGCAGAGGGTTTGTAAAAGAAGAATTATTAATCATACCGTATGGCACAGTATTACCTCCTGTCAACACGACATAGAGGCAAGATACCCGGTGGAGTTCGTATCCCACTATAGTAGAGGTAATGGTAGCAAGAGATAAGGGTCCCCAACTAAAGTCTTATTTGTGAAATAAAGCTTTGTAGAGGGGTAGTAGAGGGTAATGGGAAGGGTCCGACTAAAGCTTTATCTATTAAATGAAGCTTTAGATTACCCTGGTCCAGAATTCTCATTCCCTATACTACTCGTGAAGATCCGGGTTTTAAATTACATTTGTGACGTCATTCCATTGTCTGCTCGCTCCATTACTTTTCAGGAATGGAGCGATGTGTACCAGCTTCAAATTAAAGACTTCATTTTGTCATTTTGACATGTAACTTTGATAACAGAAATATTCCCAATACTTTGAATGTTATTTAAGTAGGGTAATATCCTCTTAACTCTCCATTCCTTAAAAAACAATGTGCCTCGGGCCCTCCGGGGCCTCGGCTCCATTATTTTTAAGGAATGGAGAGTTACTCGGACTTTACCCTCTACAGAATTGTCTTCAACAACAATGCTTGTCGTTAGATGCGACTAACGGGATCGGGTGGTCAGGTTCGCTGACTTGGTCAACACATGTCATCGTATCCCATCTGCATAGATCGATGCTCATGATGTTAATCACTAGGTTGTCTGATCCAGGCTCGATTATACAAAACTGGAATATTGCCGAGCGCGACGTTAAACAAACAAACTTGATTTTACGTTTGACCGTGTAGTTCTGCCACAGCTGTCCATGCATTGCTTGTGGTGGCAAACATTGTTGGTTAAGGTACGATAGCTTCGAGCGTTTTTGAAAACTATGACAGATTGAAAGGAGCGAATGTGGTTCGCTAGGGCTTAAAAACTAGCCAAACAGGATGAATGTATACTCAACTTTATGCTTTGGGCAAGACTATACACTGCATACACAATGGACAGCATGACCTAAAGAGCAGGGTAACACAACCAGTCAAACGTGCAAACAGGAAGAAATGATACTCTACTTTATGCCTCGGGCCCACCATACAGACACAATGGATAGTAAGACCAAGGAGACTAGATTACAATACAATGTATGTTATATGATCGATCTTTTGTTTCTTGATAAATGATGCAGTCAAAGCTTGAGACAGAAATCCAAATCCGTGTTTAGGTGTAGTTGGTGCATGAGTTCTACCATTACCAGCAAGAGTTTGAATCAAGTATTTAGGACGCGATGAGTTAATCAGCTTCCACCTGTACTTGACTGCTCTGGGTGTACAATGACTCCCGACACTCTCAGGGCCGTATCATTGTTGGTATGTACGTGTGACCTCACTGAAATGGCTTGAAGAATGTCAGCGGTGTTACAACACTGGGTTTGCAGATCCAAAACACAGAATAGGTGTGATCAGACAATAAAACATGTAAGGAAGATCATGATGGCTGATATATTCAAAATATTTCTGTTGTAGCTTTCTGCTGAATTTCTGCGGAAAGTACCTTAATTTAAAAAAACTATAATTCTAATTTTGTTGAAATAAAAAAAAAATCCCAAAAGAGACTTTCCCCCAAACATTTTCTGTTCCAGCTGTTAAGCTGTGTAAGATCAAGCATCGCCAAACAAAGACGTATGTCCTGATGAGGTTAGACAGTAAATCTATAACGAAACCTTAAAGTTCTCAGAATATGTTAATAGCAACACGCTCTGTTATCAGCTCTTTCCACAAACAACAAAAACCTGCCTTATATTCTAAACAGGATTCATCAGAAATTATTTCTACTCAAATGTGTGTACATTTAAATGTGAATTTCATGCTCATGTTATAATGTAGTTATCTGCCGGATTTGGCACCGTAACCCCAGAAAAAACAATGTTATCACAGGGGCGAAATCAGGATTTTGGAGAAGGGGAGGCGGGTGTCGCACGTAAATCATGAAGACCAAAGGTTAGGGGGACATGTTCCCCAGGGAATTGTTTTCGGGGCACACACGCACGCACGCACGCGCGCACACACACGCACGCACACAAACCCTGGATCCGCACCTGCTATCATTAGACACCTCTCTTAGAGAGGAATATACTATATTTTCTCCATACTCAAACAAGAAAATATGCATAAACTTAAAATTGCTAAAATTATTTCACACCTTTTCGACTCGAACTAAAATGGCATAAAAAACTACCAAATTGTATGAAGTGATTAAAATTAATTTATATTATACTGTCATGCAACCACAATATTTAACCACAAACGTTATCTAAGCATAGAAACAAGCATAGATGACCCCAAACATGACGCCGCATGATGATACCAGTACCACATACATCCCCATAGAAAAAAAAGTTCTTGTTAGATTCATTTTAGCCACGACCAAACATGACTGTACACCTTCTTTATCCCGTCAGTTTTCATCATAGATAATTCACTAGAATGTCCGAGAAAGAAAGGGGTGAGTGACCGAAGGGGTTTCAGTTGCTTTTGAATAGCATGTATGCTTAATGAATACAAAATGCCATTTAGAAAGTGGTCAATCGTAACATATATAATATTTTGGATTAAACTTTCTCGTTAAAGTACAGATCATACTACTTTTGTGGTTGAGTCCCCCACCACACTCTAAGAGCCAAGCACCTAATCGCCAGCGCACAAAGTCTGCTATCTAACCTACTCAGCCATCGCAGCGTTCACAAAGTATGCGTGCTAGACTACAAGTTGTCCGACTTCGAATTTTAAAGTGGGTAAGTGTAATCCCAAATAATTATATATGTATCTAAATAAAATTGTCATACAATCAACACACTCTTCAAATATAACACCACACCCCCAGAAAAAACAATTATTGTGGGATTATTTGGGATAATGACATGTATCTTCGCGTAGCCATCGGACACTGTCGAAATAGTATTGTTGATATTTATCCAAATTATGGAGTTTCACACAAATGTCACAGAAAGCAGATTCATATGTTGTCCCTGTATGTGAATGTGTATACTTGGATTTGTTTTCCAGAATCTCAGCATAAGCTGTCACGTTTGTTTCCAGATACTTAAGATAGGTTGCCAGTTCTTTTGGACTAGAAAAGTCCGCTGCATTAATGTACGTTCCATTTGGTACCAGGGAATTATAATCTGCCCCTCCACGAACAACTGGAACAATGTTATGAGCATATACTTTGAACAACTTCTCTGTGGCGTAATCAACGCAAAATGAATTTTCAAATGATAAATAAAACCTATATTGGTTGTACAAAAAATCGCACTTCGGTCCGCTACATTTTAATGGCCCACATCTTCCATAGATGTCCACTGAGATATGCTTACGTAGTTCTTTCACATACTGTTGCCGTTTGGATTGTGTGTTGCAGTTACTGACAAACCAGAGGACCGACTTCGTTTTATTCAGAGCAATTTGAGAAAAATTAACTTTCGGTGGTTGCTGCAGCTGAAAAAGGACATTGTAAGGCAAGATGACGTCAGAGTCGAGACGATACGTCATGGTCCAGTTGAACATGTGACGCCAATGTTCTGACCGAGATAACTGATTGTTGTAATAATAGGGACACTCTAATCCGAACATGATCCACACTTGGTTGGTTTGTTTAAGTGGAGGGGTTAAGTGGAGTTCAACACCATCGAAGATGACAGCATCTGCTTTATCAACACGTTTGGTATCAAAGGAACATTCACAGTGTTTCTGTGGACATTTCTGTAAACCCTGTGGACAAAACTTTTGAAATGCTGTAAACCATCTTGGGGGATTATGAAAGAGTATCAGCTTAGACTTGGTGCTTGTAACTGGACGGTATCCATGAGTGAAATCCACGCTGTAGGACCGCTTCTGTCTGTACTTGTCAGAAGAATGAAACGACACTGGTTTATAGAAATGTGGAAAAGTGCTATTACTTTTAAAAACCATCTTCTGAAGGTGAGTTTTAGCTACTGAGACATCACGATTGATGGTCTTGTTGTAGTTAGTGATTGGGTAGTAGACCGTCCACTTCGTCCACATTCCAGGCGACATGAAACTGGACTCATTGTAGCATACCGTAACTGTTCCACACACAACCGCAGCAATCAGCAGGTATAGGCAGTACTTGAATTTCCGAGGTGACGCCTGAATCTGAAATTGAATAATGAAACCCATGTGTATATTACTGAACAGATAATGACTGCAAGAAATAAACACAACCACGTGAAATACTGAGAGACACGCAGGTATTGAGACAGGTGGTTGGTATATACACTCGTACAGAGATATCTGCAGACATACGAAGAGGTGTTAGGTATGATATTGATAAATAAAGTGGTAACGGTGATAAATAGTGACATTCATTCAAAGGTGTACAGAGTGACAATGGCTATTTACAGGTATACAGTAAGATAGCTGGTACACTCAGATATATATAGATATGGGAGGTATACTGTCTTATGTAACTCGCTCACATAAGATGTGTGTTTCAGCCTCTTACTGAAAAACACTTGTCTGATGTATCATCTTGTAGACTGTGCATCAGACTCTACTGGACAACAGCTGTCTGATGTATCACCTTGAAAATTGTGTATCAGACTCTACTGGACAACACCTGGGTGGTGTATCACCTTGTAGATTGTGTATCAGACTCTACTGGACAACAGCTGTCTGATGTATCACCTTGAAAATTGTGTATCAGACTCTACTGGACAACACCTGTCTGATGTATCACCTTGTAGATTGTGTATCAGACTCTACTGGACAACACGTGTCTGATGTTTCAAATTGTAGACTGTGTATTATTCTCACTGGGCATGTCAACAATCTACCCCATTCAAAGATATGTTACACCTTCCACTACATACGGTAGTGAGTGTACAACGCCATGTATGATGCATAAACTCTTCACGCTAAGTACTGGGTGCCAAGTTTTGAATCAGGTACATGACGTATCACCTTGTACATTCTGTAAATGTACCATGTCAACTTGTACACTTTCTTGTCTAGTTTAGCAGATGCCTACATTCAGTCTACCTTTGTTTCAGTGTGTAGTCCCGTGCAGTTAAATGTTTTCGGAGTAAAAGCTTACTATTTTTGTGTCCTGGTCATTCTTTTGTAAAGCCCTTTGGATGTGGCTGCTCATCTTTGGTCTTCAATCTGAAATCGTAAAAGCGTTCTCAAATGCGTATCTGTTTATGAGGGGGAATGTAGCTGTGACAACGAATGCTTCTGGAATAAAACGAAAATTCATTTGAGTAGAAATTAATGATGTAACGAATCAATTTGGGAAATGTGTACGCGCCGTCTCTGAAACTACAAGGGCTAGGCTAGGCAAGACAAAAGATGAAGAATGAGGACTATTTTTATGGATATACAACTTCTTTATTCTGTATAGGCGACGTTCCGACATAGATTCTAATGTCGTTGTCAAGCAAGACATTAGGATCTATGTCGAAACGTCGTCTATACAGAATACAGAAGTTGTATATCCATAAAAATAGTCCTCATTCTCCATCTACCAAACTTCTAGAATGCGAGTCAAAGAAGGACAAAAGATCTCACACCAGAACCAGTCGCTTAAAATGCATTTTTATTCTCTGATGGGAGAAAGTCAGAGTTTGTTCACCAAAAACACGTGACTTCGAATACCAAGCATGTCCAGTGAACGATTCATGCATAATGTTATGTCCAGCATTACCGGTAGCATAAAAGATTTTAAATGGCCTTTAACAGAATCGAATACCATTTGCACCTTATGCAACTCTTTGCACATGTACTGACAAATTTGGAGCATGATATCGTGGAGTCCGCTTGTTCTTTTGAATAAAGTTGATTCAGGTAAACAGGCAGAATTTTTAATATTGATAAATTCAGCTTTGAAACTTGCTTACCCGTTCCTTTCTTTTCATGGAGTAAAAACGATAATTCCAGATCGACCTCTATCTCAGCACAACATGGACGTTTCTTGTTAAATATGAGTTTGCTGACATCACCAGAACAAACCAACAAAATATAGCAAAAGCAGCTGCGCGGGCTCCATGACCTATATTGAAGGATCCGGTTTCACAGTCACAGTCACCTCACAATGTCCTACTTTGGTTTATAATGAAAACTAAAACGATGAAACCAAACTTGAATGACTTGAATAAATAAATATGTAACTTTTTACTTCTGGTCTCATTGAGTCGCCTTCGGTATAACTTAAGATGCAGCATTAAACTTAAACAGGTACATGCTTTCAGCAGATAATGAACTATCTGGAACTTTGTCATCAGCACTAATTGTTGACATCAGAAATGACATGAAAAGGTTAATATCAGAGCAGCTTAATACACTTTTTCTAAAGGTAAAGATTCCGTTGTCAAGAACAAAAATATAAAAGAATCAGTGATTTGCTATAGTGACTTTGTGAAACAATATCAACGATTATATTTTATATTGATTGGGTTAGGTCAGGTTTTCATAATTGGTTTGCCTTCAGCTGCTACATGACCAGGACCAAGCTGTTGTGCTTAGGAGTCGAAGGCTACCATGAAATGTTACCACCAATAATCATCATGTGCATATACCCTAGTGTTGTCCCTTTTAAGCAGTCCGAAAGAAGAAATAGTTCCTTGCCTTCCGTTCCGTTGTCTTGTAGTCTACAGTACAAATAGTACGCTATCAGTCTCTTGCAATCAATACAGGATCTTTACGTTGTTTATATACTGGACAAAATAAGTTAGGGATATTGGTATTTTTATGATTGATATTGTATTAGTGTGTAAATGAATAAATAGATCATTATTCATAATTTTAAAATTTACATATATCCCTATCTATTTTTGTCTAGTATATGATCAATTTCCATTGAGGAAAATCGTAAAGATTGGAAGACAACTCAGTATGGCAGCTTTCCAACGTCAGTCATCATATTTAAATGACAAGCCTATAGCTTTCATTAGATGACTTTTCTCGTGTACAAATCTGGACCCAGAACATGTATGGTGATGTATGGATGACTTCTTCAAAGTGAATTTGTATACTAGTATCACGAGTTGTTTATCCGTTTCTTTGACTATATGACAATTACAGGTCTTTCCTCAATTCACCTTTAAACCACCCCAAAACTCTACGGAACACCTAAACATCCAATACCCAAATATCCAGTTCACTATGAAAAATGAGTCCAATCCATCTACCCCTTGATGCACCAATGTCCCCAACCACCCAGCTCAAGCCAAGAAAGGAATCATCTCATCTCGATGGCGGATCTGCTTGTCCCGATAGCTGCCGGAAGATACAAGACTCTTCTCGCTGCATGGACAATTGGCCGACAACTCGTCGATGAGGCGTTGGTAGCGCAGGCACCACGAGAGGCAGTCGTCGTCGTACAGGTTCTCTACGTTCGAGAGAAAGTAGTGGATTGGGATTTCTTCTGGAACCTCGAATGGGAGTCGATCCTCCTGGGGTGGTGTGTAGTTTTCTATCGCTTTGTTTTTCACAGAACGCATTTCTTGCTGTCGACGCAGCGGTTGATGGCGCAGCACTTGCACGTAGAGTTGTCTTGCTCGAAGAGAGTGGGGAGTTCCGGTATGGCGGCCAGGCAGTCGGTGCATTGGTGGTGTCTTCTGTCCTTGGGTTCTGCTGGGCGGCAGTAGTCGTCCGCGAGAATGATGCGGAGTTTGCCCGATGCCGGGCGAAATTGGTTGGGTGGGTAGAGGTAAATCCACTATTTTGCCATCGTCGACAAATGGGTGAAAGTACAGCAAATACAGTCTCTCGAAGACTTCGGCCATGTCGGGAGTTCACTCGGAGCTGCCACGGATTTGCGTGTATCAGGCTTGCAATATGTGGTACTTCCTCTTTGCTTCCCGAAGGGACAAATGACCCGATCGGATCTTGGCGTAGGCTTCGCGCGATAGCTTGGTTCCTGGCATTTTGTTGTGTTCTATACCTATGTACCTAGTGTATCTCTAATTCGATTGCACCTTCGCCGATGGAGAAACAACACGAGAGTGGTCCAAACCCCATCGACATACTGTCGTTGTTGTTCTGCGCTGGACTCCAATTTTGCTTTCCATATACCTGTCTTGGGGTTGGATGGACTACGGGTTCGCGAAGAAAAAACCCAATGCAAACAAAGAGTGTCTCTATTACTCAAATGTTGAGTGGAGGTGCACCTTTTGGTCTTTTCCTTCTTATTTTATCATTATTTTTTAGCATTACCATTGTGTATACTACTCGTACTAACACTTGAAGACTAAAGTACATATTGGGAAGTCAACAGATTGGACGCATCAATTTATACAGGTTCAGAACTATCCATAGCGACAAGGACAGTATAAAGTGATATCACCTGGGTCAGTCCCCTCTGAATATCGGTAGGAATATGTTATAGATAGTACCAGTGATATGACAGAGGCTTGTCGGATGGTACTAAATTATTTAAACATTTTAGTAATCAGTTTAAATCTTTTTGATCGGATGCCAGAATTGTTTGATCAAAGTTGCAGATTCTAAGCAATTTCCCCAAAGTACAAAACAGAGGTTACAACTAATGGTATAGACGTAAGAATGTGATCTTATGGTATTATGATTTGGAAAAATGAAGAATAATGTGCATTAATAGCAACTGAGACATCTGTGAAGATCCTTCTTGTTCCTGCAGTTCGAAATGCGAACATGAGGCAAAAATTGAATGGAACCTGTGTTCAGATGTCACATCGATCGATGCATGAATTAAAATGTCTCTTGCAGTAGTTGTGTCTTTGGTGAGTGAAATTAAGCCATTATGGGTTCTAGATCTGTGATGTGATCATATGTGCTTGGGATACCAACAGTTGATGGCATGTCTTAAAGATTTTAAATCAATTTTCTCTTTGCAGGTAATCTTTCACGCTGATGGAAGAAAGTCACTCCAGTTCAGAAATTTATGTTGGGGTTTAGACATTTTGCAACAATTACTGGTTAGAATAACATGTTCAGTTCATGGGAACGTATCATGTATGCAGATAAAGTGTACTGACGTATTCTGACGTCACCCAACAACCACTACCACTATATGCTGACCTGGGACACAGTGAATCCCGAATGTATGTTACAGTGAATATTTAAAACAAGGGATTATGTATAATCCCTGAAATTTTCTGTGATAATGTCTGATTCACTCAGTGATCATACATAATCACTGAAATTTTCAGGGTTTCGGTTTTACATATTAACTGTAACATATATAGCTCCTTGTTTTAACTGCAAGCCACGGTCTCCTTGTTGCCACCTCCACCTACCACCGAGACTGCAGATGCTGCACTTTGTTAGTTTGTTAGTCTCCAACTTAGAACACTTTGATATTGAACTGACTATAGATAAACTGCAATTCAGCGCTGGCATTTGATAGACTAACAACTGCTTTTGCGTTATTTCTGGATAAACCGGAAAAAGATGCTTCTAATTGGGTCGTAATTGAATAAGCGAGTGTTGGGTTCCATTATTGCGTGGTCACTGATGGGTGGCGCCACTGAATTTATGCCGATTTCACCAATCAGAGGCTATTCAAATACCCTGAAACCCAGAATATTCTCGTTGAACAGAACGGATCCAGTAGAGAAAATACAATATCCATACTTAACACAGCATCAATAATAGCTTCAATATAAACATACCAACATTCTGATGTTTTATTGATTTTAAAAGAGCGTTGTAACATCCGTGGTGGGAACATGATATTTCAAACAATATGCTCCAGGCTATCAGGCTGACCATGTCCTTGCCTTAGATAACCCTGAATAATCTCATATTTCCTGTACAATCCGGTATGTAACAAGGATGTGTGTTATTGCCAATTCTGTTACCTATAAAAATCAATGCTGTTATACGCTTTTATTACCCACGTGGTCAACGTATGGGAATTTGCATACTAATCTCGTACGTCACACGAGTGTCGTATCGCGTTGACCTGTGTCGTAACGACTTGACCTGAGATTCTAACGATTTGATTGGATAACCGATGACCTCTCAATTAGGTCACATTCTGACATAACTATTTTTTCATTCATAACGAACACGTGAATTCATTCATTCTATAACTTAAATGCATTGTGGGAATGTAAACATTGCGAACGTTGCCGTGTCGCTGTTTAATTGTGAGTCGAACTGAGACATTATATCCGTCGAAAAACATAAACGGAATGTTTCCACCAGTGATGTTAGCCGGAATGAAGCAACTGCAAACCAAGAAACGGGGTGCTACGGAGTAGTTTACTGTAGG